CCTCCTCCAACAAAATACTTCTAGCTATTGCCACCTTAAAAGTTGCGAGTCGGATTAGTGTGTGTGCCTTACTTGTGTGTGTAAGTGTAAAAACATCCAGATGTATGTATATATTTATAATTATAAACAGAATCAAAAGATATAAAAAAAAAATTGTACCTTTTCCTTTAATTGCTGCTCCAGTCGTACTATAGATTGTTTGTGATAATTGCTATGCAAGTAAATGAAACGAATATTTTCGATATGTGAAATGTATAAAATTTCATCTGCAACTGGCTTTCGTAATCTGAAAATTCTACGGCTTTTTACATCTACCAGTGCTACATTACCATTAGTGGCTTTTTTTCCAGTGCACTGAATCCGACAGTTTTTTTTTTTAATATATTCACAACAACAAATATGCATAATTTTAACACATTAGCACTGTCTACATGTTTTAGTTTCGACAGTCTTTACAAATCCACATGGATGATGCACTCATGCCACTGATGCCTTAGCACTGCCCGTTCTTCACACATAATAATTTCGACGGCTTTTATACATATAAAATCGAGAAATGAGTATAGTGAAAGGAACCCTTTCTCAAAAATTGTTCTGCACCGGAAGGGAATCGATCCACTTCCCTTCACGTCCAGACGCAATGTATTACCACTACACCACCGGTCCTTACCTTCCAAGTTCAGTCTGACAGCACATCTACTGTGTATCTGCCTTTCAAGGCAAGAGACTCCCTTTTTTTCTCTGTGGCGGCTCATTAGCCGGCATCTCGCGGGTTTTCCGCGGTAATAAATGCCGATAGTACAAGACATCAGTCCTGGAAATCTTTCTTTCTTCCTCACTCTTCCAACTTTTTAGAGCGTTCCAGCTGGTTATATTTATTTCACCTTTCAAGCCGCAAATTATACAAGGCTTTTGCCTTCGTAGAAGAAAGTCTAAAATCTCTTTGTGATTACTAAAGAAATGAATACCTTTCAAGGTGCAATACAAAATCAGGTAGTGAGCTGAGCTCATCGGAACTCCCTTCATCGCTATTCTCATCACTTGCAAAATTGCCCTCCTTAAAAGCAAATTTTTTTTTTTTTTGAAAAATCATGAAAAAAATTACGAGAACTCACTTTCAATTGCTAATAAAAGGAACAAAAAACAAAAGGAACGGTATCGAATCGATGCGTAAAACTCTGTAAAAAAGAACTAAACTATATCAAAAGACTTAGAAAAACAACTTTAATAAATAACAAATACTAAAACACATTTGAAAAGGCAATAAATTATGCTTTCTTGAATTTTTTCGATAAAAAGTCCTAAGGAAACTATTTGAATAAATAGTCAAAAGTAACTATTAAGAACAATCAAAGATACCATTCGCGCCAATTTTTCCTCCCATCTTCTTCTTCGCGCATTTTCGCCTGCTTGCTCGTTGGGGCAATAGAATGATAAGCCAAGATTTCGGCCCTCCACGGTTGGGTGATATAAGTTGACAAGGAACGGAACAGAGGAGACATCGGCAAGTTCGACGCGCACAAGACCACCAAATGAACTGATCAGCTTTTGAAAATCGTTTACTTTTGCAGCAGCCAAATCGTTCATGTTAACATCTACAAAATGCACTGAGGATATAGCAAAAATACGAGGGGCACTGATTATACCACAACAAGACGCAGCGAAACTGGGACCAAGTTACAAAGGCAGTTGGAAATAGCCGGTTGATTGCATTATTCATTTTTTCTTTTTTCCAATTTTTGTTTTGCACTCGGCCACAAACGTACACATACATACACACACAGACAGACGCGCCCACATATCATACATACATAAATACATACATACATAAATACATACATACATAAATACATACATACATAAATACA